GGAGCCGTCGGAGGCGAGGTCTACCAAAGCCACCGCTGTCGAGTGGAGAGACGCGAGGGTGTAGAGACGCGAGGGCGAAGCGTGAACCGGCGCGGTACGGCGCGGCGCAGCCCGGCGCGGCGCGACGAGACGCGCGCGTCGGAGAATTCGCTCGATACCGACGACGGAGCGACGCCACCGTGAATCCTTACTCCAGAATGGTGCGTAGCATCCATTGGGTTATTCCGCGCTCATCACGCGGCTCCTGCATGCGTGAGCCACGCAGGACGTCTGATCGCCGGCGCTTAATTTCAATGCCACTATTCCCACTTCGTTAAACTCGTCTTTTGCATTCGGGATCAGATGAATGCTTTCGTATGACATTTGCAACAGAATCTTTATTTACCAATGTATAAATATATTATGTGATAGATATTATACTAAAAAAATTAACAATTTAATTTTAATGTTGATATATTTTCATTTTTTATATAGAAAGAATGGTTTTGCTGAAGCAAAAAAATTTAGCTAAAAATTTTTAGCTAAATATAGATTTAAAAGTTATTTTTTGTCGGATTATTATTTAAAATAATTATGTAAAATGCTCGAGTTGGTTGTGAGAATAAAATTTTTTGCAGTATTTTGTTCATCATGCTTGAACTTTTTACTAAATAATTATTTTAATGGTGCAATAAAAATTTTTTCAGATGTGTTAACTAGCTAAATTTTTAAATAAATAGCAAAATTATTCTTTCCGAATACGGTACAGCGCATCTACTTAAGAATCATAATTAATAATAGAAATTAAAAAGCCTTTTACGGTCGAAGCTAGATCTATAATGTTTCTCACATAGCACGGTCTTTAAAAATGTTTAAATCTACTGCAGTCGAATAATTTTAGTAAATACTTAGGCCAATATTCATAATCGATTCTTACTTCAAGATTCTTACTACCGTTTTAATGATTTATGACGTCTCAAGACTGTACTTAAAAATAGTTTTAAATGTAAAAATCGACTATAAATATTGGTCTTAATCTTAGAATATTAAATCTCAGAATCGATCTAGATTGAAATCATCGTAAGTATTAAATATTTCCAATTTGTATAGCATTATTATCGTTTGCATATATTTTTATCAATTTAAACTTTGCAACTTATATGCATTATTATTTACCAGGTTTTCAGAGATCTACGCATTTATTGGTAAATTGTAAAAAAAATAATGTGATTACAAATTCATTATACTCATTATAGAAAATATTTTCAATGCAGCCACTTTATCTCTTCATCAGTGATGCAGTCGACGCAGTCTTCTTGATTAATCTGTTACAATGTACAAATATTAGCAAATACAATCGCGTTTCATATGGTTTGTTCGATGATCGAATTACTTCTATTAGTTATTGTCCTCTTGTAGTAGTCTTTTTTTCGTTTAAGGATTTAAGGACCGGGTTTACTTCTTTATTCCGTGGGAATCCTGTTTTCTAAGGAATTAAATTAATTTATTTCGTCAATTCGGAGAACGTCGCGTATGAACGCTACATGTACATATGCATATATATACTATGTGTACAAACGTATACATATAAATATATAAATGCGCGTCATTTGTATATCAATATGTAGTACACATTATCGACCGTTTCCTTTTTATTTCCCTTTCTCTCATGAAGAGATCCTAGGCCAGAAAATGCATTATTTGGTTCATAGAAAATAACAGTTCGCGACATACATTCGGAAAAATTGTACAACAATTGTTTATCAATACATATGTATACATATATATAGTTGTTAACAAGTAAATAATATGAAAAAAAAGGCTCGGAATGCTTTAATATGCGCTGATAAAGTTGCGATAGACGATGGTAGCAAGTACCCCAAGAGCGATTGGAATCAACCAGGACCACCAAGAACTGCAATTGCCAATCATCACATCACGATGCAGCATCGACTATTTACACATGACGATTCATATTTATACATGATACTTGAAAAGAAACAGGCTTTCTGCCTGTATTTAAATGCAGACAGTATGAACACGGTCATGTTTGATTTTATTCATGCAGGTGTTAAAATTATTAAACGAATATATTATATATATATATTTATCTTAATATATATTTAATAAAATTTAAAAAAAATGTATTTTTTTAAACAAAAAAACAGTTAATATGCTATTAAGGGCACTCTACTTAGAGCTACAAGCTGACGTATTTAATTGATCAATTGATAGAATTTTACTAATTGACCAATCAAGGAATGCTTTTGACACATTTATAGCATTGAGTGGATCATATCATTTATATCAAAATACTAAAGTTTCAGGAAATCACAGAAAATTAAATTTAAAGAAATTTTTTTCAAATATAAAATTCAACTTTTTAACATACTGTATAATCAATATTAGAAATGCCTATACCGGTCGAAGCTAGATCTTTAATGCTTAAATAATTCAATGTGAATTATATAATATATATACTATATATGTACTTGTATATATATCATATTTGTAGTCCTTCAATTTTTAATTTTTACAATATTTACAGTTTTTCAGCACATTAACATTTTGCTAATATGATGCTAATATGATTGTGCATCAAAATTATTAAGAATTGCTTGTCAATTTAATTTAATTCGTGATATTATTTCAATAGTTTAATTGCGTTTATAAGTCCGGAAAACTAATTTGGCGCGCAATTTGAAGGACTACAAATATAGTATATATGCAAGTACATATATAGTATATATATATATATATAAAATTCACATTGAATTATTTAAGCATTAAAGCTTTAGCTTCGACCAGTACAGGCATTTTAATTTCTAGTATCGATTGTGTTTTTTACATGTTACAGTCTACAATAAGATTCTTATTTTTTATACTGTATAATATTAGCATTGTAAATGAAGCATTAGCATTGCTAAAATTACTTTCAAAGTGACTAAATAAGAAAGTCTTTGGAGTTAAATAATGAATGAGCTCATTAAAAATATACTAAAGAGACAACAGTATCAGCCTTGTAATCATAATACATTTGCACATTACAAGTACAAAAATACCTGAATAAGATAACATCAGATGAAATACTGACATCATTACTTTAATTAAAAAAGATTTTTGTATTCATACCATCTGTGTATAATAATCAAAACTAAAGAAAGTTAAGAAGAAAAAATTTACTCTTATTAATGGGAAATTTAGAGACATTCATGAAACACAGTGTCAAAGAAAATAGATTTCTGGAACAGTAAAATATATTCTGAAATATTAAATGTGATGAAGATATAATAGAATTGTGAGAATGTTAGAATCATCAAGTTTGTAAAATAGTGCGATAGAAAAATGAGAATAAGATCATACCTAGAACTGTCTTCATTTTCATTAGACCAGTCTCTGGCTTTCTTTCCAGACTCTTCCATCCTTTCTGTCTAAAATACATACAAATAACCGATAATAAAAAAAATTCAAGAATAATGTAAAATGCAGTTTGTCATGAAAACAATTCTTACTTCCACTAACTCTCCAATTTTATATGATTCCATCATTTGCCTAGCATCAGTTGAATGTCCAATATCTTCGAAAGCTTCTGTAGCATCCCGTCCGCTTTGTTCCAGAAGTACTTCCTCACCACCAGGATGCTATTAAAGAAAATTGACATATAAGAGTAATTTTAATAAAAACAGTATAATGTACATAAAAAACATAAGTATTTAGTAAACAAAAACAAAGATTGAGATTATCACTCAATTATCAGATTGATATCACAAAGATCAGTGTCAAAGTTTTTTGTGAGAGGAAAAATTGCAACCTCATTGAGAAACGGGGTGACATTGTAGACATTATTATGAATGATGATCCATATATCTTTAGAAGTTTCAGCGTATTTCTCCACTTCTGCCCGTGTAAAGAGTTTGCCAGCTGACGTGGCGGCGGCGGTGTCGTCTTTAAGATCCTTAGTTGCCATCTCAGTTAGCGTGTCTTTAGCGTTCCTTTGCTGAGGAGACTTGAATTCACTATCCTTTAGCAAACGACTTCGTTGACTAACTCAATGTTTGTTTTCCTCATTTCATGACTGATGTTTCCGTTAGAGCATCAACTGGCATTAAGTAACAACTAGTAATGTTCGAAATAATTTGGGGAGATGGACTTTGATCACCATGTAATCAGCGTTTTTGATAAATTGGTGTCTAACTCGATTCCTGAAAGAATGAAGACTTGAAGACTTGTACGATTTTTCAAGCTATTCCGGATTAGTTTGCGAAAGCGCCGTATGAGGGCAATGCGATCGTGGTCGAATGCAGAGGTGCCAACTGTCAAGATACGTATATATGTACGGTCAGAGCCAAAAAGGTTGCAACACTTTTTTTTTCGATGGGTTTCGGAATGCAGCCTACTCACCGAGCGATTGGTTCTTATTTGTCGATCCATGAATAAGAACTAATCGCTCGGTGAGTAGGCTTCATTTTGAAACTCATCGAAAAAAGTATTGCAACCTTTTGGCCCTAACCGTATATATAGATCTGTCTAGAGATTCTATGGTCGGAATCTATAGTCCGGTCTTAATAGGTCTGTTCGCGTTGCATGAAATCCCCAAATATTTTTGCACTTAAAATGAGATAAATATATATTTGGCCTTGAAAAGAGAGAAAGCGAAGATGCCGAGTGCCAAAAGTGCAAGCAACGCGAACAGACCTAATCTCAAGCAATGGCTGCGTTCAGCAGAACGTTTGTTTTGCAACTGTTGGAAGTTTCCTTCGCGCTAATTGGATCATACTTTTAGATCTAGAAGAATGGTCCTATCTCGGCAGACAATCATAAAACGGTTGCAAAACTGTTGAGTCTGCTGAACGCAGCCAATGATCAAAGAAGATTGGAAAGAACAGAAGATTCGTGTATATTGTGAACAGAGTTACCTATTGAGTCTGATGCCCAATTATGTTAGCCGTAGTACTGAATGCACCCAATGTCTCAAGATGCTAATACGATTCTCTGATTGGTTCATGCGCTAGCTTAAGACCATCTCGAATCTTGAGCAACGTCTATGAATTCCACCTTTTAAGTATAAGGGCCATAGCACACAAAAAAACTTAAGCAGTAAAACGTAAGCAGTAAGAATTGACCAATCACAGTAGAGTCCACAAGGCCATAATATAAGCAGTAGCGAATCCAACATGTTGATTTCCTTATTGCTTACGTCTTACTGCCTTAAGCGTCGTCTACAATATGTGAAGTAAACTTGGTTTAAGAAGTAAGAGTAAGAAATTGACCAATCACAGTCGAATGTGAGAAGAATAATCGACTGTGATTGGTCAATTTCTTACTCTTACTTCTTAAACCAAGCTTACTTCGCATATTGTAGACGACGCCTTAAGTTTTTTGTGTGTCAGGGCCCTAACAGGGTATCAATCGTGAAACTTTATCCCTAGAATGGAAAATAAAAAGTGAAAATTTTTACCATATTGAAGTTAAGGGTTGGTTTATAATAGGCCGTGATTTGTTAACTTTTTCCGTAATCTGTAAGAATTGACCAATCACAGTCGAATGAGAGGAGACTAATCGACTGTGATTGGTCAATTTCTTACAAATTACGGAAAAAGTTAACAGATTACGGTCTATTATAAACCAACCCTAATGGAGAAATTTTTCACTTTTCACTTTCGCCACCGAAAAATTTCATGATGCGCACCCTGAGGGTGCGGTCACCGACAAGATACTATTAAAAACCATCAACTCTGGGCATATTTTCGGCGGTATATAAAGAATTCAAGGGCCCGGAAGTAATTGAAGAACGCTGATATTATCGACAATTGATATAAATTTGCTATTATTAACATAAATATTTCGATAATTTATTATTAAATTCATTATTTTTATTATACAAATTCTATATAAATAAGTACGCATACTTTTAATGCTATAATATCTTATATATTGCCGAAAAGTTATAATTTTTTTTCTCTGCAGTTATTATTCCTATTGATAATCAAATTCGGATGATAACATTAAAATCACAGTTTTAAATAAAAATCGAGTATTATTAAGTTTTAAACATATATACATGTCTACGAAATCATGAAATTAGTATCGTATTATCAGTTTCTTACTTTGACTTAAATTTTAACAGTTACGCGACTTCTATAAGCGTCGACCGTCTTTAATAATATCTCGTCGGTACTTCTGATCATTAATTAAAATTTTATTTTTATAAAATTATATTAATAAGAATTATCAATAAGAATTATATTTCTGAGTGCCACCCAGGTATTATTCTATTCTTGTTTACCGAATGTTAAACAAGGATGACATGATATCTGGACAGCATTCGGGTGGGAATTTGAACACGCCCCTAGAGCATTGTGGAAGAAAGCATCTTCTAGCATGGCTAGAGCAGTCTGGAGCAGAAAACGGACTATTTAACGCGACGAAGAAACGACGCTATCACAGTTGTGATGCTACTACAGTTGAATACACATAGTACAGTACACAGTATTATAGTATGACATACCATCGAGAGTCTGTTACGTCGACCTGTATGGAGGAAGACTTTAAGGAAATAATAGCCGAACTCGCCGTTCTTCCAACGGTAACTAGAAAAAAAAAAGGAAGAGGAGTAAAAAAGGTTCTATAATATGATTCTCACCAAACGCGTCCTGATCCATTTACTAATTTATACAAAATTCCTCGCGTTTGTACAAAGCGAACTTATAACGTTCGGTATAGTCGGTGCATTAAGTGGTTTAGGTTATTACGTGTACGACAAATACAAATGTGTGTATCAGGAATGCTGCACAGATGAATACATCCCTGCTGACTTAGATAGTAAGTGTAAATCCATATAATTTTTTCTTATAAAAAAATTTTAGATTCATGTGTATTGTCATCAAAGAATTGAAGATATTTTCAATCCAATAAATAATTCGTATATGTGGATTTATTTTTGTTAAAAGTGATTTGATGCGTTTATTTCCTTTAATATTTTCTTATAATCATTGATTATCATTAGTTTTGTTTAATTATTAATTTGTATCAGAAATAATTATCAATTTATATCAGAATATTGTAATTTATTTGGTAATTATACAGTTTAGCTTCCGCAGCTTAAAAATCAATAAAATTAAGCTTATTCGACGTGTTTTTGCATGGAACGAAAGAATCTGGCAAAAAAAAGAATAGAAGTCGTGCGGGGGGATGAAAGCTGCTTCGCGTGAAAAGTACTGGAAAATCGAAACTACATGCAACAATACAACACATTATAATCTCGTTTTGCCTCTGTGACTCTCGATAGATTTCCTCGATAGTAGTCAACTTTAACGCTTAATATCTCGGTTTGTGGGGCAGAACGATATTTTTTGTGTACTGAATAATTACCATCTATTTTTTTTTATATCTTCTATGTATACATTTACACAGAAATATTTAAAAATTATTGAAATTATAGGATTAGAATATGTACTTACTACTAAATTATATGGGCAACAAATTGCTCATGAAACGATAACAAATGCACTTCGGGGCCATTTGAGAAGTCACAATTCGTCTAAGGCGTTGGTCATGAGTTTTCATGGGACACCAGGAACAGGCAAGAACTATGTCGTGCAGATGATTGGCAAAACTTTTTATAAAAACGGTGTTCAGAGCAACTATTTCCATTTTTTCAATGGCCGTAATGATTTTCCTCTACAACAAAAAGTAGACGACTACAAGGTATACATTCAAATATATAATTCATTATAATAAAAGAAAGTAAATTAATAGACAATTTGTTTTTGTAGGAAGATTTGTACAAAATTATTTTCAAAGGTCTGCAACAGTGCGAGAGATCGATGTTTGTGTTCGACGAGGTGGACAAAATGCCAGAGGGTCTATTAAACGTACTGGTACCATTTCTAGACTACAACAACTATCACAAATCCATTAAGAATAGCGAATCCGTGTATCAGAACAAAGCTATTTTTATATTTCTCTCAAACACTGGCAGCGCCAAAATAGTGCATCATCTCAAAAATCTGTGGGAGAAGGGCAAGAAACGGGAGGACACAAAATTACAGGATTTTGAAAAACTCGTAGCTAGTGGAGCATTCTTTGAGAAGGGTGGTTTCCATTATAGTGATACTATACAGGCTAGTGTGATTGATCATTATGTACCTTTCCTACCTCTTGAGGAAATGCATGTTAGAAAATGCTTAGCAAAGTCTTTCACCGATCGAGATGTCACTCCGACAGAGGAGATGCTAGAAGAGGTACTGTCGCATTTAACTTTTGGCCCTGAGCCGCATAATTTGTACTCGATGGCAGGCTGTAAGAGGATAGAACAGAAAGTTGCTGCTATTGTGTATCGTAAACAATCAGAGTTCAAACCTATTGATTAAAATAATTTGTAATACTGAAATTGTTAATAAAAGTAATAATATTGATGAGACATTGTCATGTAAGCATTTATATAACATCTCGATAAGATCCTTTATTGATAGAATTTCTTATTGGCACACTCAGAAAAATATATGTCTAACAATTAAAAAAATAGTAAACTTAATTTTTCATACTTACAATAAAAAAAATATATATATATGAAAGAGATAATTAAATATATATTTTTGTATCTATATAGTTGTTCGATATAATTAGCAATATATCTATAGTAAAAAGAGAATAATTTCTCAATTTTTTCGAATAAATTTTTTTATAATTTATCAATTTGGGTGCTTGGAATAACAATATTTTACAGGCTTAATAAAATTTGGTGTATTTTTTTCTTAGGCTTAATACCTAAATATTACTATTCTATCCATTTGGACAGAATTTTGATTGGCACTAATTGAGCTTACTATAAATTAATGTTAGGCAGCATTTCTTTCATAGACATATAACTTGTTACTCCAAACAACAATCAGAAAAATTTACATATAATTACATTTTATCTAAATATATACAATATTATAAAAGTTAATTAATAGACATATGTAGGATATTATCAAGAATCATAACATCAAACATTTGCAAAATGAATGTTGATTCTTTGATACATAATTAACAATTCGAAATGAACATAATTTATGCAAATTTTCGTTGCAGACTTAACGATATTATTCTACAATGAGAAATTGCTCTCTTTATTCTCTAATTACCGAACACCCTGTATACAATTTGTGTACGCATTTGTTCGCAATTTAAATATAACTAGAAATACTTCTTATTAATTGTACGGATAGGATTATGTACAATTAATATCTGGCAATTGACTCTGAAATTTAATCATAAAGAAAAAAGTTGTCGGCAAGATACAGACCGCCATAGAATATGCCCATAAAAAATGAAAAAGATCATCTTTTAGATAAAAAATTCACTTTTTGTTAAAGTTGAAGTGGAGAACTATGCATCTATAAAGATGTTAATTCTTTGGTATAATGTTTCTCTTCTTTTAATTTCCTTTAAGAAAAATTTTATTCTCAAAGAAAATCAAATTCTTATCTTTTTAGGGCATTTTGTAGGCACTTATATTTTTCTAAATCACGTGCATTTTTGGACAAACAACTTTAGTCTTTATGATATCATCGCCTAACGATAATCAGGAAAATATTTCTATATATCTAAGTTGTCTAAGTGAAGCGCCAGACATACATCGACATCATGTGCTCGGATCTTGTTAAATACAATAGAACAGTAGCATCGAAGTTGCGCGTGCGCTATGCAAGTTGTGCATATATTTACCTATATTTTTTTATACAACGCAAAAATGCCTCGTGAATAAATTTGTCTTCTTATCCTTTTCTACTGAGGTATGCGTCGATATCATGATTGCAATGTAAGATGATTACCACGATGTTTATCACCATCGAATGGTCAATAAATTAGATAAAATGTCGGTTTTATAACTCCAAAAAAGGTATAAAAAGATAATAATATGATTTAAATCTTATCCAACTTTGTGAATATTGTAGCATTTTATTTTTTACGTTTTACCTTCAGTTTAACATTCTTCATGCTGTAAGGTTTAATTAATAGTTATCCAGAAAATTGACATGTCTTTTTTTGAGTGTAAAATTTTTATCATAAACGTTATATGATTAAATAAAGATATCAAATAATATTATACTAATAATATTATCTCCTACAGAAATATTTTAGAAATTTTTACGAATTTATATAAAACTTGATAATTTCAATTTACATAGGAAGGAAGCAACTTAGTAAAAGAATTATATCGATATTTTGTCAAAATATATAATAATCAATGATCACATAAAAAAAATCGGGAACTTTGAAATCCGACATATTATATGCACCGACATAATAACTAAACTAATTCATTCTTAATAATCCTATTCCTCCTCCACGTACTCTTTTGGAAAAAATCCGATTTGATCGCCTATTTTACCTTTCCACCATCCTTTGGCATCACCTTCCTTGCTCAGCACCACGACTCGACAACCACGTCGTAAGCTTAATTGATTACGTTCGCAGCCGCGGAAGTCGAACAATGCCTTGGCCAAGACACGCCGGTAGGGCCATAATAGACGTTGATCTAATTTCTCGAAGTTCTCCGAGAGTGATGCTCGCTCGTAGTACTAGTTTGAATACTCGGATATGTTTTACCGCTCCTTCCGCCCTGAAAAAATATAATATTTAATGAAACGCTTTAAAAAATTTAAGTAAAATAAATAAAATTTATAAGAAAAAATAGAATCTTTAGAAAAAAAATGTTTAACTCTAAATATTTTTTACTTCATAGTTGTACTCAACAGAAAAGTTGTACGTTTCGGTTTTATTCAAGCCACCTTCAACGATATATTTCAAATAATGGAAAATTGTAGATGATTTATCAATATTGTTGTACATCTCTGAAGGTTTGAAACCGAAATGTACGATTTTTCTTTTGGACACAATTATGAAGTAAATATATTCTTTATTAAAAATCTTTTGCGCACTATATATATATAATTACCGCGCCGTTACTCTCAATTGTTCTTTAATCTGTTCTTTATTGTTTTAAATATCAAGGGGAAAAGTCATTTATAAATATTTTTTCTAAATATTTTGATACAATTTATATATTTACAATTCAACGACATAATTATATATGATCTAAATATTTTCAATATAGTTTATTGTTAAGTATAATATAGAAATTAATTATGTAATAGACAAAAAACTAAAGTTAAATTTTCCTAAAACAAAGAAATTTTTTGTCGTCCAAGCTTACTTGATACTAAGAGCGTAATTGGTTTCATGTTTGAGGCGTGGTTGTCCAGTTGGACGAACGCGCAGCATGTAAGTGCCATCATCGCGGGATTCCAGTTTGTTGGAAGCTGCATCTCTGCCCATCTCCCCGACGAACCATAATTTCGCGGCGAGCGCACGTTCGCAGGGTAGTGGCGGTGGCGGTATCGGCGACGTCGGCATAGGCATACAACGACCTGAGTGCGCGATACACTGCTTGTGTACAGCAAGGCGACATGTCTCGCATTTGTAGCCCTATATGATACAACACTCGATTAAAAACTTGTGATTTGGATTTTCTAATATTTTGAGAGATCAAGAAATAAAATTGCAAATTTGGAAAACGTAAATTATGATCATTGATCTATACATTGGTCATTTTTTTAAATAAATTTAAAGCATTTTAATTCTTTAAATTAAAATGTAAAAGTTGTGATTCTATATCTTATTATCTATATATAACTTTTAGTATAAATTTTACACGCTTGAATTGTATATTCTTCATGCAGTTATAAGTAGTTGATAGCGCAAGAACTTAAAATATGTCACTAGTTAATTATTACTTGGAATATGCGGCCTTTAAGGAATTTTCCACATCGTTGACAGCTTTTAGGAGTATCAAATGTTGTCAACTTGAATTTATGATTGGTATTCCGACAGGCTGCGGGATTAACATTATCTATCGCATCCTGTAACGCCTTTATCCACATCTGCTTCTGTTCTTCTGTTCTCGCATATAAAGTATATGCCGTGTATGCTTGCTTATGTACAAGTAGCCACTGATAGGACCAACGTGAATCTCTGCCCAAAGTTCGGCGTCCTATGTGATCTTCCAGTCTATAGTCATCTAATCGTAGAGTTTCCCGATAACAATATTGGTCTCCTCTGCCAGCTTTGCAAATCAATACCACTTGCTCGAATACAAATGCATAACGGGCCTTTATCCGTTGGTCGCCATGAGCTTTCACCTACAGAAAAAACTGAATTAGCCATGCAGTTCCATATTAAATTAACTTTAACTCTATTGCAACGTTTTCTTGAAAACTAACAAACTAAATGTATATATTTTTGTTTGTGATAATATATTAGGCAAACCTTGAGCTCGCCGTCACGAAGTAATCGGCCGAAATCCTTCAGCTGCGCGTCTTCAGGGACATCCCAGTCGATTATCGATGCTTGAATGTCCTTTATGATGTCCAGCGTGTCGGAATCGCGTTTTACTTCATTTATGTATTGAGCAACATCGACCATCACTTCCCTTGCCTTCGTCAATGCACGGAAATCCTCTATCCATTCGCGAGGAGTTTCCTCTACCAACTTATCCAATAGCAAGTGATACTTGAGCACCCTCTGCATCGGCACAGATAGTATATCGCTCAGCTTAAATTTATTACTGTTAGCTTCTTGCTCGCACCTCTGCAATAAATATCATTGTTAAAATAGCTCAAATATATTACTTTCTTTGATCAATTAATGATTTTATATGGCAGGAATTTTTAGAGATTATATCACAGTAAATTTGGTGAAATGTTGACTTCTTTTTCCTTATAAAAGAACTGAATGTAAAATGTAAAGCTTTTAATTTTCTTTAATCGTTTAATCACATGATTTCACGATTTGCATTATGAAACTTACGATAACTTCTTGATTGACTATTTCGTTACGCGTGCAGGCTTCCTGCAGAGTATATTGTGCTAGGGTGAGATTTGCGCAGTAATCGCCGTAAATGAGGAACTTCTCCCGCCAGTCGAGGAAGACTTGGGCGATCGCGGCACCGTTTCGCGCCTTACGTAGCTGACTGTGGAAGCCCACATGGATCTCTGAGAGTTGCTTGATTGCGAAGAAAATGCGGGCGGAATCTTCGGGTCGGAGTAACGACGACAATGGTCGGACGAATTGTCTAAGTAGGTTACTGAGAACCTCTGTATAATTTCGCTCGGTTTCCACGAGTTCCTGGATTACGTAATCTCTTTTCTCTCCTCCAGAAATGGCACTACTCTGTTGCACGGAAATTATCTTGATGAATAAAAACGCTTTTGTGTGAATTATAAAGTAGTATGCAAGGTGTAAAGCGGAGCGCATGGTGAATAACTAAATTAATCATACATAAATGCAGTAATAATAAATGAGAATTCACTTTCCTATGGACTCAACACTGAAATTAAATACTGAATACATTTATATAATATTTCTGCATTTTAATGCAAGGTCTCTCTGATTATCTGCGTCTCCTTCAAATACTTCAAATAATGATCGAAAGGAAAGTTTGGGGATATTTTATAATATAAAAAATTATATAAGAAAACAATAGAAACAAGGAAAAACAATGATGACCTGTGCAACTGACGGAGGTGGTGGTAAATGTAGACTACAGAGGTCCTGATAGATTTCTTCACTCTGCGCGTGGCTGCAAAAAGCTCCATACCCATCCTCCTCGCCGACTGGATCCTCATTATCTCCTCCGCCACTCGTTTCGTCGCCTTCGCGTCTCCTAAATCTCCTACGACGGCCCTCATCTTCTCGGCTTTACCATAAAAATACAAAAAAAAAAAATACGACCATGCACTATGACATGCATACTGATGGGAATTGCTAAGTTCTCGGCAAAAATCAAATCATAATACAGCACAATTATAAAGTCTGCCACTGATGATAATTGCGATCGATATCTAACTTCAACCTGAAGAATAAAACAATGCCACCATTGTATCACATAAACGGTATATATAATTTAATTTTAATGCGTCAATATGTTATTTAATGGTATATAATATTTCGTGAATGTGTATATATATATGTATTTCGGAAAAAATATAATTTAAAAATTTTTGTGCTTCATAAAGCACAATAAAGATCCTGGAAATAGAGCCTCTTTCACACAGAAATATCCATCTACAAAAAAAAATATATCATGCATAATAAAAATGCACCTATATAAAAAATATACCATGCATAATAAAAATTTTCAATATTTTAAAAAATAGTTTTTCTTAGAATAAACGTAACTTATGATTAATGTTTCTTAGAATAATAAATTTGTATAAATGAAACAAAGCTGGGGTAAATTTGATTTTAAATCGCAGCATAACATCTTGTTTATGTATTTAAGAATGTTTCGATTCGTGCTTTGAATCATTTACTTATTTATAGATTGAAGAGGCTGCATTTGCGAAAGATAGGGATACAATAATGGCTGGTATTCTTTCAGTAAAAAATGTTCTTAAGCTTGTTAAGCCATAAAATGGCGTATACCTTCTCCGTAGAAGGCCAGTTACGTTGAGAATTACTCGAGAAGTAGAGCAATTCCTCATAAACCCGAGACTCATCTACGTCCACAGTCCTAGTTTTTAACGCCACGTATCCATATGTGGCACTAAATCAATTAATATAAAAGTTAACTAAACTCTCTGTTGTTATTTTTTGAAAGCCGAACAGTGTAATTATTTCTTTTATCGATCGTTATTTAAAAAAAAATACATATATATCTATATAACGTGAATGAAAAGAGAAGTTTTATTTTAACAAAGAGACAAACCTTAATATTTTAGAGTCAAGATATAACATTTCTTGTCATTTAATATTCAATGAATTGTGTATAAATTAATAAGTTACGAAAATGTAACTTAGTAATGGACTCTTACCCTGCTCCGGCACTTTGCAAATCCTTATAAATATCCTCTTGCGATCTTCCATGACCAACGGAGAATCCACTGTAAGAAATATATATATTTCCTTATTATTTCTTATTTATTTTGTAATTATTAATCTATTTATCTTTCAATTGTGACAAATTGATGATTGATAATCAAATTTTAATATGAATGAATGTAGATATCGATAGATTACTTACGCTATACCCTTTCGCCTCAGTCGTGGACAATTGGACAAGGCGGAGAGTGTGCAGAGAACGCGATGGAAGTTAGAAAGGTCAAATAGCATCGACGGCTCGAAGAGTTCTGAATCGGAGAGACCAAAGACATTCGAACACGCTGATAAAAATACTTTTATATTACGCAAACATAGAAATTGTGCCATTTGCGGCTTTTGATTCACGTCTTTCATGTCTATGCATCCCGTATCTACAATGTTCAATAGATTGCACAGCAATACACCATCTCGTAATGTATAGGCCAAGTCGAATGCAGTTGCCTGTGGCCAATTGGCTTTGTGATCTGCTCGTAGTGCGCCACATCTGATCAACCATCTGGCAGATTCATGCCAAGCTTTATTAGCATCCACACTGTCTGTCCTATTCATTTTGATATTTCTTTGTTCAACAGTTAGGACATTGAAGGCACATTTATAATTTTGTTCAATGGTTAGGACATTGAGAAGGCACAGTTATAATTTTGCAGATATTTCATACATTAGATTCCAAGATTCCATTTATCACGCTGCTATCCTATTAAATATAAAAACATCATAGATTAAATAGATATAATTATAAAAAGAATACATAAATTTTAGCATTTATTATATTACAAAAAAATAATTATTAAAAAATAATGAGATTGAGAAGTTTGAACAAATTGAGATTACAAGTAATAGCATGAGATTTTTTATGATAAATACTTAATATGTGATACCCTTTCATAAAATTCAAGATAACTACTAACATAAAAGTTATATTATGAAATACATTGAATATTATAATGCAAGAAATACAATATTATTTTACACACACACGTATGCTTCGATATTTATTGCAATAACTAATTATAAGATATTAATTATATCCTATGCTAATACAATAATATATATTCATAATATTATAGACACTAAAATAACTTGTTAAGAAAGCATGTGTCGATAAGGTTTTATCTTTATTATTATAAAAGCTACATTCACGTATCACGAAAAAATGTTCGCGTAAAAGAATTTTCCTAGAAAATGAATCGCCGTTAGAGAGATCAATCTGTAAGATTAAATCGCGTGTACCGCGTGATCTTTATCGTCTCTCAATCTCGGCTATTGCAAGTGGACTGACCACTGACCGACAATTCCAAGCCGAGCATCTCTCGAACCATGGAAGGGCCTCTTCGGGACACTGAAACGGAAGTCATCGCGCAGCTTGTTATTCTCTGTTGGGGCCAACGATACTCAGTGCGATCTGTTGTAACGGCGCTCGTGGATTCGCTCCGTAGTCCGTGGATGGTATCATCGACTATCGCGGCATCCCTTCTCCTGCGAGAAGGGAGAAAGACCACACGGACGTAAGTGGAGAAACGGAGGAAAGGCGATGAACACACGGAACCCTTTGGCCTCTTTGGAGAGTCCTTGGAAATTGGAGTTACTGCAGTGCGCGCGTATAGCCGTATAGCCTCGTGCTGCACGTAGCGCGTCACTCGGTCATTTTCACCGCGACACTTGTCGTGATGTTCACACCGCGTTACCTTCGCACGGTGAATTCGCGTCCGCCATACCACCACAGAAACCACTGCACGAATTGATTGTGACTGACGATATCGCTGCTCCAGTCCGAGCTGTCCGAGCAATCCGAGCAATGCCGAGCGACGAATCGCTTCGTGCTCCGTGCGCTGGGTCGATTGGGTATCCCACACAACGACACAACAGGAGTCAGGACTCAGGACCGGCCACACTCGTTCGGGAGCCTTGCGCGTGTACCGGATGTCGCGGCGCGACCGGATGCAGATTTTTTTCAGTTTCACCGCGCCGAATTTTTGCTACTTTGATTTTTGTTCGACGAAAATCAAGGAAGCAAAACAAATTGCACGAATAAAAATGTAGAGATTTAAAAAAGTATAAAATATAGATTTTTAATTTAATAAAATTTAATAAAATTAATTTAATAAAATTTTGATATTTTCATATATATTGTACGTTTTATATATATTTTTAAAGATTTTTAGTATTTGTCCGTGTAATCTATAAGTATACTAAATTAATTGTAATTTGTGTTTTAAATATATAATTCTATCCTTTTGTACACGATGAGTTTCAAAGTTTTAAGTAAGAAGAAAACATTTGAATATTAGGGCGACTTCGATCGAATTTCGATTAATTTAACTGGCAGAATTGCTTAAAGTAAAATTTCTGATTATATAATTCGTAGTCCCTAATCAAACTTTTTGATGTGTTAATTAACAAGAATTGGTTATGCTATAAAAGAATAATACAGATATTACTTAATAAATTAATTAATTGAAATTTGAATTTAGTAGCTCTAAAGGAAATATATTTCCTTATCACTTGAAGTTACTTGAGTAGCAGTATAGTCGATTACTCGAATTTCTTGGATCGATCGTGATTTCGCGCTATCAAGTTAAACGTAGATGTCTCTTTTTCTCTTTCCTTTCATATTTATTATTTTATTTATTATCATTTATTACATAAAATATTTTATCACGTAAGTTACTAAAATTTTTTTAAATAGTTTTCAAAAAATGCAACGAGCATAAATAAAATGAGTACAATAAATATATAACATCTATTTTTCAATAAACAACAAACCAGAATATTAACGAACTAGAATAACATTAAAAATAGATATACAAGATAGAAGTACAAAATTAAATAAATTATGCGTACAATAAATGCGTAATGCAAATTGATAACGTTTCGATATTTCTTACGTTTTATTTCTTCAAAACCGGTTTTTTTACGATTCACTTTTAAAGAATAGTATAATAGTTAATAACACGTTATTATTTATATTATTTTTAATAAGTAAATAAATTATAATATAATTACAAATTATAATATATAAATTGCAAAGTAAATAAGTAAATAATTTATAATGCGTGACATACAATATTATACATAAGAGGAACCTGATTTTTTGTACACTCTGTATATATAATATTAAAACTATTTTCATCATGTATTACATTTATTTCTCACAGTAAAAGTTTCATATTCTACTACAGAAATGTAATGCACAGATTGAATGCATTGGACGCATGGAATTAAGTGACTATGTGACGTCATTAGTGATCTTCATTCTTCATGGTCGTTTTCTTTCTTATGCCTTCGCGTCTCTGGAGGTTGGAATCTTCTGGAGTCTTCACAAAACCTTCGTCACGGTTACATTATCGGTGAATACCTGTTCTATAGTGTCGATATCATCAGTCGAAGCAGCTCATAGAAAAGAGTAGGTGAATGTTTTTTTAGAGTGTAGTTAGTATTCCGCGTATATATGATGCTCATGATGTATCATTTTATTATTAATTGTTGTTCACGAAATATGTCAAAGAAGGATAAAATAATACATCGTGTACATCACATGTAAAATAGAACGTATTCTTAAATGCACATTTCCTATTTCGATATATACATATTAAAGTTTTCACATGACGCTGCTGCATTCTCAAAGGTCATCGTGTGAACATAGACGCAGATTGCGTGTGGGGGCGATGCGCAGCACCGCTCTGACGTTATCTATGTGTGGAGGCGGCGCGCTATCGCTTTGTCTTCTTCGAATATCTCAGTTTTATTGTGATATATTTGCCTTAAAAATGTTTAATTTAGCATTTTGATCGAAAAGTGACATGTGAATATTTTTAATATACTGAGCGTCAAAAATTTTTGACACAAATTGTTGTTGGATTAAACGGCAGAAAAATTAAACATTAAAAATTAATTTTTTTCTATTAACTCCAAATAAACTTTTTGTTAACTGAAAATGAATGATTTAATAGAATTTTTAATGTTAAATTTTATTATTAAGATTTACAGATCAATAAAATAAATTGTCAAAAATAAACTTTCGAAAATACTTTATTTTTATGTAGGTGTTTATAAACATGAACAATCTATTTCTATTCATAAGAAAATATTAATAAAAATTTTTTTCTTTTTCAATTTATACAAATTTTTCATAAAAATATTTATATCTATTATCTACATAATATAAATTTGGAATATAAATAATTATTTTATAGGTTTTGAAAATATTATTCTATTAAAGATAGACATCCGAAATCAAAAAATAGACCATTATTTTTCATTATTTATATATCATGTAACAAATGCATTTAATAATTGGTGCAATGCTTTTCATAAAGAAATGGAAGTGATTTTTCAACAAAATTTGATTGGATATTATACTTCTTTGTAATTTCTTTTGCGAAATTATTTTGATGACAAGAAATAGTAGTTTTTAGATATTATCATTTTACATATATTTGTATACATATATATATATATATACATATACATTTTTATGTACATTTTACACAACTGTATTTTTACACTATGTAAACAATTATGGAATATTAATGATAATGATTGAAAAAGAAACATTATTTTCATGGCAAATTAATGTTATTGTTGTGTTTATGTGTAAATACGCATGTGTTTCAGATGGAGTTTCGACAGAAATACGTGACATTCGCGCTTCAATGAGTCGAAAGTAATGCAGACCGAACTATTTATCGGCGCGATTACAGTTTTCGCTTTGTAATTTGTTGCTACGATGTAAACAGTTCGCAAGTGTAGTAGTATATGTAGATACAGCAGAAGTGTGTGTTTGTCGATGTATTTTAATTAACACCATTTTAAGTCATAACTCATAAATGTCTGCTGGTTCGGAGAGCAGTAGATCATGAATCGGTGTGCCCGCGATCGCTACGAATTTTTCTTGAGTTGGATATTGATAGCGTAATTTAATGATGTTCTTACTATTGTGCATAAGCATTTTCTTATTTACATGCAATGCGGCAAATCCTCGGTGTAAAGATGAAAATAATCAAGTTGTCGATTGGTGAGTGCTTTCAATACTTATATTACGTATTTTTATGTTTTCACTGCTGGTCACAATTTATAATAATTTTTAAAAATTTTAATAATTTTTTAAAAATAAAATCGACTGTCTTAAGTTATTACAACTTATAAAAAATTATTTTACAAGGGTAGGACCAAAAGTGGAAACGCATTTTTGAAATACGATTTGTTGCAAAAGATAATCCTTTGTGCCTATATTAAGAATCCCTAGCTCTTAATTTTTCAAAAATTAATAATAAAAATAAAAATTTTGATGTTCTTGGATTGATTATATAATCACAAGATAATATAGATCTTAAAGAAAAGAGGAAAAAAGTTAAGTATTATAATATTTCGGGACCAATCGACTTTTATTTGGAGCGTAGACAATATTAATTTATTAATGTATTTCTGTATGTAAATAATAATTAATTAATGTATTTCGAATTAAAACCCGGGTACAACGTTGCAATCTGTTGCATTGTCGAGGTGATAATAAAAATGCATAATCCGAATTGTATAATATTTATATCTGTGTATAAAAAAAGTCAATTAGTCTTAGAACATATTGAACAATTGTATTTATATTTATGTATAAAAAAGTCAATTGGTTCTAGAACATTGTAATACTTAACTTTTTCCTTCTTTCTTTTAAATCTATCATATTGATAAGTGATTAATCAATACGATGACTTCAAAGTTTTTATGTTCTAATGTTAATTTTTAAAGAAAAGAGTAAAAAAAGGAATAAAGGGTGCCTGAAGCTAGAGTTTTGGTTTCTTAAGCACAAAAAGCTATCTTTTGCAACAAATCGTATTTCAGCACGTTTCTACTTTAGGTCCTTCCTTTAAATCTAAGGATAAATAAAACAATATGAAGAATATGTGAAAAATAATAAATAATATTTAATATGTAAAAATTCGCATACATTAATTTTTTAATTGTTATAATTATTAAATAACTAAATTCAAATCAATTCTATTCATTTTTAAATGTCTAAATTTATGAAAAAAAACTGAGTATAGAACGAAATATATTTTAATAATAACGTGTAAACAATTATTATTTTTTAAACTTATAATGAATATTAAACAAGAATTATAATATTAAACAAGAGTTATATTTTGAAATGCTTCTATATTTAGAGTTGGTAAAAATTATGTTTTAGACATGTTTTAAACTTTTTAAAACAGCTTAATTGATGTTTTAACATATTTTAATGCTTTAAACATGTTTCTTTATAATACTGTTTAAAGCATATATGTATGTATGAAATATTAAAAACATATTTAAAAAAACACAATTTTTTGTTCTTAAAAAAGACATTAACTTTTGCCAACTTTGTATTAGTCTTATATTAATGTTACAATTATGTTTATCTTATCATATTCCCTAATAACACAGATCTCCAAGGAACATTCCAATGAACATTCAGAGGATATCCCTATGTTCTAAGAACGTTCGCCAGAACAAAGTCCCCTCGAATAAAGTGTGCTATTAGAGTTGTGTTTCCGCTTCCCGCTATCGACAACTTTTATGAACAATTATCGCGATGTACAATTTCAGGTATGTGCTTTACAAGTTGCCGAAGGTATCGGAAAGCAGCAATCCTATGATTAGAAATGGAACAGCGTATTTATATATGACTAATAATACTGTTGCTGAAGGTTGGCAGTTATCTACGAAGAAAATTAGCGCAAAAAATTCCATACCAGGAAATACTTTAGCATCTTTATACAAAGACGTAAGAATAAATCGTAATATAAAAATGTATTTATTTATTCAGATGTTTGGCACATGAATTATTTTGTGCCAACTGTTAATTACATTATATGTACAGCTCCAGTACACATTTAGATGTATTATGCTTTGCTGCACAATAAGTTATAAAATTACATTTTTTTATTCAATCAATTTTAATTATAAAATAATTTTTTATTCACAATTTGTAAATTCCTTTTTAATTTATTATTTATTTATTTCTAAAAAATTTTTTTCTCTAAAATTATATAAGAATACAAAACCTCTGATTTTATAGAATATAGATTTTTTAAGATTATTTTATATTTTAAAGTGTGTACATAATATTTATTAATCATAACACAACATATAATACATATATATAACATTTTATATAATCATATACGTTAGTCAATAGCATCGAAGACTTTTTGGGTCTTGTACAATGATGATCCGCCTAATAGATCTACCAATGCAAAATATGGTCATACGAAAGGCGCTGTGATGACGAACAAACAAGAGGGTTTTTGGTTAATACATAGCGTTCCGAATTATCCACCCATACCCAACAGCGGTAATGATACAAGACAAGTATGTACAAAAGCGTTAAGAGTATACCGAATGTCAATATTTTCTTTTATTTCAGTATTTTTCATAAATACTCGATAATTCTATTAATAAGCGAAATAGTTAGATAAACAAATTATATAGATATTTATTATTCTAAATAATGTCGTTTTTTCTAAGAATGTCTTTTTCATAGATTTTCTAAAGTCTGTGAAAACTGTCAGTCACTGTCTTTCCTCTAACATTTTTATTATAATCATTAAATTAATAATTGAAAATAATAAACACGTGAATGAAAAATATTCGGTCGAGATGGTTCTTAGTGTCTATAATAATATTTCTCATGAATTTATACAATTTCCTGCTAATTGTAACCGTGATAATTTATCGGTCTTGAAACAGCCCTAAATTGAAGCTGGAGTAATAATATTACAATTGAATTGACAAGCAATTTAATAATATTGATGCTTGTAGGCATCTTAAGATTTTAATAATGTGATGCTAATAAGCATCTGTAAATAATTTTATTTCGAAAAATATCCTTGGTCGAGAATCGAACCTCGATATCTTATATTTCCGTGCGAGCGTCCTCACTATTTAACAACCGAGGCCATGATGGAAGTATATAAAATTACTTCCACCATGGACTGAGGCAATATTTTACTTGAATAGTTCATTCAACTTTGTTATGGTTATAATATACAAGATATTTTAGATGTAGATTTTCCTTAAATTAAAATATTCTCAGGGACAAGTGAATTCGACTCTGGGAAACCGATCTGAATATGATTATCCGACATCCGGAATGAATTATGGACAGAGCTTTTTGTGCATCTCTGTGGACGACGATCAATTCGATCTTATCGGTCGACAGTTGATGTATAATCAAATAATAGCGTATAGGAGAAACATCCCTGCTGCATTCGCCGCGACGTTTCCGGTGCTTACGAACGCGGCTAATCAGAAGCGTATTAGACAAGCACCTTTTATCAGCAAAACACTGTTAAAATCATCTGGCGGTGTTGAATTCGTATCATTTGCCAAGAGCGATAAGTGGCAGAAAGGTAAACATCCTTGGTATTATTGTATATTCGTATATATTGCGGAAAATAATTTAAAGTGACGTTTTTAAAATGAGACTCGAAATACAATATTTTGAAAATTATCCTATCTTGAAAATTAATATAACATACGTGATTTTTGCATAGTTTTTTCAAGTCTTATGCCGATATTTTCATAGTCGGTTTTTATATTTAAGACCGTTTTAAATACAATCTTAAGATGTCATAAACCAATCACAGAGAGCCGCATTATTAGTATCTTAAGGCATTATTTAAGATGGTCTTAAAATAAGAATCGATTGTGAATACTGCCCTTACACATTTTTTTTACATACTTGTTAGCAAAATACATATTTTACATATATAATATTATACTATAAGAACCTAATGAACAATATCTTTAAATAAGGAGCGCCTGGATATTTGCTGAATTTTAAAAGTCTCTTTTTTAATTTAAACCATTTTATGATTGGTGGAATAAATATATCTTTTACATTATAATTAATATGTTTCTTACAAATCTTGTCAATAAATAATTAACGTATTCTTGTGTTAATCTATAGATTTGTACGAAGAGTTCGTTGCGCCGATGTTAAAAACAGATTTATTTGCCGAAACATGGTTAAATGGACGAGGTAGATTGCCATCGGATTGCAAACAAGTAAAGTAATGTTAAATTTTTTCGTTTTTACTGTTAAATAAATTTTAGGTTAATTGATATCTTTAATTTAATTTAATTTTTATTATTTTTTTAGAGTGTACAATATCATGACCATTCATTTGGCACCAGTTAACATCGATTTTAAGAGTAGTCGCGATCATTCCAAGTGGGTGGTGGCTGTTGAAGGTAAAGCTAATCAAACCTGGACTTGCATAGGTGATATTAACCGAGCAGTAAGTACATGTTTTTTTGCAAAAAAAAAGTATAAATCAGAGCTGATAAAATTAGTTTGCAAATAAGAAAAATTTATTAAACGAAGTATTAAAACATAAATTTAATTAATTAAATCGATTATGTTTTTTCAAAGTAACAGAGACTTATAATTTTGTTTATATATATATATATATAACATTTCTTTCTTTTATGTCTTTTTAAAGCTAATTTAGTAGAAAAACGCGTAATTTATATTTTATTATTTTCCAGGATACTCAATACATACGAGGCGGTGGAACTGTCTGTTTCAACAATCAGAAAGTCTGGAATAATTATCGAAAAGCGGTGAATGACGTGGAACCATGTCCTAAGCAATATGGTATAAGACAATTTTAATTTAACGAATTTAATTAATTTGGACCAGAGAATAATAGATTCTAGAAGATCTAATAATTTTATTCCCACTGCACATACGCTGGGTATATTCAGAACGACAACCACTCATTGAGCGCTCAGTGAACGGTTATCATTGTCATTTTGAATGCACACATTGTATATAATTGAAATATATTATAATCATGAATTATATAGACATATTGCGAGTAATAATAAAATAATATGAAAAGTAATCAATATAATCGATGTAGAAAATAATATATTTCTACAAAAAACGAGCTTTATGTTTGAATTGATAAAATAAATGCAACATTATAAAAATACATTTTGTATTAATTCCCAAAATCTTATCGACAGATTCTTGAGATATGTTACCGACGATTTGAAGCTTGTTGTGATATAGAATTATAACATTTCACACGAGAGGTCTCATCGTTACTAATGCGAATGAAATATAAAAGACAGAATCGATAAAAAATAAAAGATAAAAAATAAAATATATGTTGAAAATAAAAACATTAATAAAATGTTAAAAATGTAATATTGTAATTATTTGAGAGGAAACATTATATTTGCTTTTTGTATATAAAAATTTCTACTTCTATTTTTTTCGAAATAGTTACATAGAATTTAATGAGCGAAGAACAAAAATTAGTGCTATAAGTGATTTATTATTTATTATAATTAGTTTAATAATTAAATAAATACCCAAGCTAAAAATTCTATGCTTTTTGTTCTTGAATAATTATACTAAAAAAGAAAAAAAGGAAAATATGCTGAGTTCATAGCTCCCAATATTCTGCACATTTTTATTATGCATTAACTACAATCTTGAAGAAAAATGTCCTGTCGGCTCTTCACTACTTTAGAGAAATAAGGACGAACGAGAAGGGGAGGGATCAGGGTAGTTCTTAAATTGGATTTTATGAAAAGCCGGGGCAAGTGGAAGGGGAAGCGATGTTTCTCCTCATCCTCGTACCTCTTTCTTTTCGCAGCTGTGCTTATTGTCTAGTCGAGGAAATTGTAGAGTAACCCGACAGGCCGTTAATGAGAGAGAAAAAGAAGACGCGGTGAAGGAGAGAGAAATACGATTCGCTCACTAATGAAAACTGTAGGAAATCGAGCGAACTCCGGCCGCCGCTACTTATCGTCCGACAACTTCGGGGTTTCATCTTTGCGATCGGCAGAAATTTTTCCGTCTAAAGTTATCGCACGGACTTTATCCCGTAGCAAGATGGATTTTTGCCTCTAAGCGCTTTACGACTTTCTTCGACTTTAATCGAAAGCTCCGCTGACCGTATCCTCCGCGGTTTCTGTTGCGTGGTGGTGTCTGGTGATCCAAGTGTAAGATGTATTCGATCGGCGCAGAAAATTTATGGTTTCGCTGTCAAATTCCGTTATATAAAATATTTGAATAAAGTTACTGATTCGAGTTTCTTTAAGCTTCTTTTTCGAACTCTATTTCTTCTGAATAAAAGAGAACATTTTGAAGCCAATGATGATTACTTTGGTCAGTAGGAAATCAATTCAAAAAGTGTTTTCATTCTATAAAACCATAATAAATCTTCTTAAATTATTTTACGAAACTAAGGACGGAATCCATAAACGTTGCTCAAGATTTGAGATGGTCTTAAGCTAGTGCATGAACCAATCAGAGAGCCGTATTAGCATCTTAAGATATTGCTTGAGATTAAGACCGAACTATGGATTCCGTCCTAAGAAGCTTAGAGAAATAATATCTCAAGCTGTTTAAAAATTCCGTTTTACACTACAAGATTATTAAAAATAATATTCTAAGAAGTCATTTAAGTACGTTAATTTATCAATTAATTTATAATCATTTCCACAATAACGTTCGCTCGTTGTGATTCGCATTTTTTCCCTTCCAATGCACGTAGGCGTACGTGATTCGCAAAAACCGGAGATACATTACAACGACGACGGCAGATTCTTTCTTGGCTCGTCGAAGCCGACGTGCTGTCTGAATACTGCGACTATAGACCAACCCAGTTCCGAGGAATTGGCTCGAGCGTTAGTTGCCAGCTGCTGGCTCAGAACCCTCTTAATCCCCTTATTCTGACGACAGCCAGCTTGTTTTTCCGAGTACTAACTAGGAGCTTCCAGATGCCCTCAAAACTTCCTTTCCGCCCGCTTTCCGCCTCGGCGACTCGTTGTTTTGCCGTTCAACTAACACTCAAACTCGAGACGTTTGCTCTCGCTTAAGCAGACATCGATTAGGCACGAAAGGGATTCAACTATATCGATGGGATTACTAATTTTCTTGTCCATGTAATCTATATTTCTATGTATAGTCCATTTAACACTGGCTTTATTGCTAAATTACTTAGTAAACACTTCTCACAGAGAGTAATAGCTGTTGTATAATATTAAAGCGTTAGAACTCTTCTACTAGTTACTTAACAATGATATTGTAGTTGTAACTTTATGTACACGCATATAACAAAGCAGCATGGCAGCAAAGGGGTAGATTTGAAGGTGCGGTTAAGGGTTTTGCGCACTCAGTCTCGAAATATCGCGCGGCAAGACGACGACGATGATGACGGGGCAACATTGCGACGTTCTAGCGATATTTCAGCATTAAAGGTTGGTCTGCTCTGCATGCTAAAACCCACTGACTGTGCACCGGCCAAATGTACGCGCGGGCGTTATATGCATGGACCCATCGTTTTATGCGTTTTATGCTTAAGTATTCGTGCAACGTGCGCACATATCGTAGGGCGTTCTTCTACTTCTAACGTGTTATTTCCGATAACTGACTTTTCTTCGCCATTCAAGAAATGATTCGTTTCGTATGGAAATGTCGGAGCATTTGCAGATCTTTTTTACAATATTTTAGTGATTGAGAATAAAGAGAGTTCAATGACGAATTAAGCACAAAGAGAATGAAACGATCATAATATTAAAGTCTTAGGTTAATTTTTAAGTGGATTTTAACTGGATTTTAATCTTACTTATAATATTAAAGATAAAATTGCGCAGAATAATTTTTTTACGATAGGATAAAAGACTTTCACATAGTTAAAGCAATGCAAATATGAAGTACTTTGCATATGTATGAATACTATATATATGCCGGTCCACATTTCAGACTGTATATTAATTCGTCTCATAATATAGAATCAAAAAAAGATTGTAAGTATTCATCAATTGATAATATAATCGATATCAAAAATAAAACATGGTGTATAAAACACTCAATCAATTAGCAAGTGTCTTTTCACAAATTTCTCAGCATCTATCGATAAAGAGTACATACTTAGCTTATTCTTACATTTATAAAATTTTAATACTGAAAAATTTAAAAAGGGAAAATTAAAAAAAGCTTTATTCTCAGAATCTTCAAAATTTACGAATTAACTTTAACAAATTTTTTTTGCTGCTATTTCTCACATATTTATAAAAGGACCCTTTAGATATATTTTTAAAATATACTTAGCTTGAAAATATAATTTAGATGTAAGACAAAGCCCTTGAATCTCTTTATCTACGCATTAAAAATAAAGCGTAAAAGGAAAGACGATACGCAATCAGAGGAAAAGGATTTGTAGAATTAACTTTGCGTGTACAGGGATATGCATATATCCTATCCACTTGTACGCTTCGTTGAAGCAGAAGAGATATATGTATCGTGATGGATAGCCCTATAATGTAAAGCTTAATATTGCCTTATACGTATTCATACCATGTGCTAGAAGGTCCGGGTCCTTTTAGGTGGAAACGAGCTTATGTCCCGCGTCCCACGAATGTAAACGGGATACAGTGAACTCACTGAAAATTGCGAACAGCTCGACAGATTGGAAAGCTGTGTAAACGAAGGTAACGCGTACCTCGTTGCAACTCAGATTTGTTTGCCTGTCGATCGCAAAGTGCCATAACCGGTACGATGGTTGATCCGCGTTAATTCCGCAATATTCTAATATAAACACATAAAATATATGGTATCTATAGTATGCGCTCTATTAACAGTGCGTTAAATTAGAAAGGTACGCGAATTTCCCGATGCCTTATCAAATATTCCGTGCAAAATTAACAGCACGGTAACCTAACATTGAATATATTTTAAATTAAATTTTTGTAAAAATATCGTAATAACAAAATCGTCAGTCATTAAAAAAATATCCTGGGATAGTAATTCAACGGCAATTTGATATAATATATAAAAAAAGAACGGTTTTATCCAATGCTGATAGGATAATTCTCAATCTGGATTAAAAAATATATACGGGAAGGGATGTTTTACATGTTTGGCTCAGATTTCGTTAAATTTGTTGAACGATATCGCGTGCACAGCCTGGCGTATTCGTTCGGTATGCACAAACAAAACGGATCGAGCAACATTAGGAACTACGTCGGACGAAGGGCATTTTAACTTTCGTCCGACCCCTTTCAAGCGAACGTTTCCAGGTAGATGGATGCTCATTATGTAAATTATATGCAACGCGAATGTATGGGTGATGCGACTTGAAGTTACGGCGTTGCATTTCCTCGTGTTTAGGATGGGCAAACCCGTGTATGCGTGCCGGCCCCGTTATGACGCATTACAGCGTCCCGGCGCCAACTTTAGTACAGCCTTATACGTATTCATACCGCAGCACGCCGACGAACCGTCCGGGAACGTCCAGGAAACATCTCTCTTCGTCCGTGCGCCGCGTTGACGGGCTACGTTTGCGGACGGGATAAAATGAGCTGCCAAACTTACGCTCTGCACCCCATTTTCGCGCAAACCTCGTTTTACCAATACTGAATAAACGAGCGAGTGTTGGAATTCATACCACCCCAGTTCGAGCTCTATGCGGTCAGACGAGGGATGACGCGTTGATGGGACAGTGATGGTCGAGGGCGATTAAAGCCTCCTTTCACGAGGTGTATATAAAGCTAATTGTATGACGTGAATATATGACTAAAGCAAGAAGTTATTTTCACACACATTCTATCATTCTATCTTTTAATTCCACATCAAAGAAAATTTAACTTATAAGAATATATACACATATAATTTTGAATATAATTATCGTACCTCTCGAAGCTTCCCTGGTTCACATCAGTCGAAATCAAATCGATGTTGATTAATTTTTTGGATCGTTTGATTTGATATCGACTATACATTTTCTATTGATCTTCGAAGAAAATCGACATTTTTATCAACATTGCATCGATAAAATGTCGATTTTCTTTTGAAG